TACAGACTTCAGTAAAGAATGAGACTCGTTCAGAATGCTTTATCGGATTGTGAAACGCCAGAAGTAACTTCCTGTGATGCTACAAGCTTCTTTCTAACTAAATGTGTGCTACAGGTCCTGATAATCTATGGTGTTGTGGGAATATCGTGATCAACTTAGTCATATTTTCACACAAAAAACTTCTATCGATACTAATGTTATTCCGTTACTTTGGAGGACATCTAATGTTATCCCTGTTCCAAACATTCCAAATCCGTCTGTGAATAATGATGACCGACCCGTTGTTTTAACATCCGTACCTTTGAAATGTTTATTGAAATTGACTTTTAAGACAGACAGTACCTCTACTTGGCCCTCCTCAGTCTGCCTGCAGGGCCGAGAGAGGTGTCAGAGCACGTCGACCCGACCGCGGAGTGATGTAAACACGTCGACCCGACCGCGGAGTAAACACGTCGACCCGACCGCGGAGTGATGTAAACACGTCGACCCGACCGCGGAGTGATGTAAACACGTCGACCCGACCGCGGAGTAAACACGTCGACCCGACCGCGGAGTGATGTAAACACGTCGACCCGACCGCGGAGTGATGTAAACACGTCGACCCGACCGCGGAGTGATGTAAACACGTCGACCCGACCGCGGAGTGATGTAAACACGTCTACCCGACCGCGGAGTGATGTAAACACGTCGACCCGACCGCGGAGTGATGTAAACACGTCGACCCGACCGCGGAGTGATGTAAACACGTCGACCCGACCGCGGAGTGATGTGAACACGTCGACCCGACCGCGGAGTGATGTGAACACGTCGACCCGACCGCGGAGTGATGTGAACACGTCGACCCGACCGCGGAGTGATGTAAACACGTCTACCCGACCGCGGAGTGATGTAAACACGTCGACCCGACCGCGGAGTGATGTAAACACGTCTACCCGACCGCGGAGTGATGTAAACACGTCGACCCGACCGCTGAGTGATGTGAACACGTCGACCCGACCGCGGAGTGATGTGAACACGTCGACCCGACCGCGGAGTGATGTGAACACGTCGACCCGACCGCGGAGTGATGTAAACACGTCTACCCGACCGCGGAGTGATGTAAACACGTCTACCCGACCGCGGAGTGATGTGAACACGTCGACCCGACCGCGGAGTGATGTGAACACGTCGACCCGACCGCGGAGTGATGTAAACACGTCGACCCGACCGCGGAGTGATGTAAACACGTCTACCCGACCGCGGAGTGATGTAAACACGTCGACCCGACCGCGGAGTGATGTAAACACGCCAACACCGACGAAGCAGGCTGACATGGGCCAGGCGAGTACGACGGTGACAAGTGCGAGACTGGGGACGCGTCATGTTCTCCGATGAGAGTAAATATTGCTTGTACAGAAATGATGGTCTGCAACGAGTGTACAGACGAGTAGGCAATTAGTTATGTTCAGCCATTTAGAGGCGGTGGCGTCGTGGTCTGGGGAGGTATCTACGGTGATGTCGTTATTATTCCGGAAACCTGACTGCCAGAGATGTCGGGAAGAAGTAGTGAGACCCGTTGTGCAACCATTCATTCAGCAACAGCTACGTTGCATTTTACAGCAAGACAATGAGAGACCGCATAAGGCAAGGCTCACAGAGAATGTCTGAACAACGCGAACATTCACGTATTACCCTGGCCGGGTGTTCTACTGATATGATCCCCATCGAACACTAATTTATGGGATCACTTTGACCGACAGATCAGAAGACAACCAGCGGCACCAGACAGACGTCAAGAGTTGGAACAATGTCTCCCTGAGGAATGGCATCAGATCACCCCCAACGTCATCTGACCTTTGACGTTATCCGTGCGACGTCGTGTTTAGGTGTGCATTAATGCACACGGTGGACATACACGATATTAAGTTGGTTTTTAATGTGCTTTCAGAGATTTTAAAGTCATAAGGAACAAGTATTGTGACAGTGATATTGTGAAACTTGTCATTTTTTATCCACATGTGTTTTTGTGTGTCAGTCAGTCGTAAAGGTTTTGTTTGGTTAACAGGAACAGTTTTACATAATATGTTAAAACACAACTCTCATGGAATATATATAATACGTATTGACTTTCTACATGCTCTTCTTTCATAGTCTTTCACACTCTTGGTATAACTTCTTTTGGGCCTTAATTTATTAAGAAGTACCATCAAATAAAGAACACATTTGTTATTAATGAGAATCATCGGGGTGTTTTTTTATTAAGGACCTACATGCTTTTGTTTTTCTTTCATAGTCTATGACCTATGCAATGAACAATCGGAAAAGTTTCGAAGTATTAACAAGTATCTCCTCATAGGTAATGATTCTAGGACATTTGGCGGTAATGTCAGTTCCCTAACTATACATGCCCACATGCATAATGATGTCGAGTTGCATGCTTGGGTTCACCTATGTCTTGTCCTCTACCTGCCCGACTATCACGATGTGTAATGAAGGGTGGTTCGACAGTGAGGCGGCAGCCAATTGACAAGTGACAATATAGTTTCTGCTTTTGTATGTTGTTGCATAAATTCCGTGATAAGTGCAGTTTTCCTAAGTCTACAATTTTTTTGTTCTTGATACCTTGGTCCAGAATTATAAAATATCGCGTGAACCACTGGCCCATTGAACCTGTCCTGTTACGGTGGAGCAGACATAGGATAATTTGTCCTGTATGGCCTGTATTGTCATGGCCGGAGATATCACCAATCACGACACATGCACGATATAAGTAGGATATATGAACGATGTATACTCGGTTGTTGAAGTCTTAAAGTGCCGCACTGTTGCCACGAGCTGTCAGCTTTGTTTCCGATGACATATTCCCGTTATTTATAGACGTTAATACAACATGTATATGTATATGTATCATGATATATATATATTGATATATATATATATATATATTGGTTTCCGTTATTTATAGACGTTTATACATGTATCACGATATATGTCCCGTTATTTATAGACATTTAAACAAATATCAAGATATATACCCGTTATTTATAGACGTTAATACGACATGTATCACGATATATGTCCCGTTATTTATAGACCTTAACACAGCATGTATAAGGATATATTATGTCCCGTTATTTATAGACTTTAACGCAGCATGTATAATGATATATGTCCCGTTATTTATAGACGTTAATACAACATGTATCACGATATATGTCCCGTTATTTATAGACCTTAACACAGCATGTATCACGATATATGTCCCGTTATTTATAGACCTTAACACAGCATGTATCATGATATATGTCCCTTTATTTATAGACCTTAACACAGCATGTATAAGGATATGTTATGTTCCGTTATTTATAGACTTTAACACAGCATGTATAATGATATATGTCCCTTTATTTATAGACGTTAATGCAACATGTATAAGGATATATGTCCCTTTATTTATAGACCTTAACACAGCATGTATAAGGATATATTATGTTCCGTTATTTATAGACTTTAACACAGCATGTATCATGATATATGTCCCGTTATTTATAGACCTTAACACAGCATGTATAAGGATATATGTCCCTTTATTTATAGACCTTAACACAGCATGTATAAGGATATATTATGTTCCGTTATTTATAGACTTTAACACAGCATGTATCATGATATATGTCCCTTTATTTATAGACCTTAACACAGCATGTATCATGATATATGTCCCTTTATTTATAGACCTTAACACAGCATGTATAAGGATATATTATGTTCCGTTATTTATAGACTTTAACACAGCATGTATCATGATATATGTCCCTTTATTTATAGACCTTAACACAGCATGTATAAGGATATATTATGTTCCGTTATTTATAGACCTTAACACAGCATGTATAAGGATATATGTCCCTTTATTTATAGACCTTAACACAGCATGTATAAGGATATATTATGTTCCGTTATTTATAGACTTTAACACAGCATGTATCATGATATATGTCCCTTTATTTATAGACCTTAACACAGCATGTATCATGATATATGTCCCTTTATTTATAGACCTTAACACAGCATGTATAAGGATATATGTCCCTTTATTTATAGACCTTAACACAGCATGTATCATGATATATTATGTTCCGTTATTTATAGACCTTAACACAGCATGTATAATGATATATGTCCCTTTATTTATAGACCTTAACACAGCATGTATAAGGACATATTATGTTCCGTTATTTATAGACTTTAACACAGCATGTATAATTATATATGTCCCGTTAATTTATAGACCTTAATACAACATGTATCACGATATATGTCCCATTATGTATATGTTCCGTTATTTATAGACTTTAACACAGCATGTATAATGATATATGTCCCGTTATTTATAGACCTTAACACAGCATTATAAGGATATATTATGTTCCGTTATTTATAGACTTTAACACAGCATGTATAATGATATATGTCCCGTTATTTATAGACGTTAATACAACATGTATCACGATATATGTCCCGTTATTTATAGATTTTAACACAACATGTATAATGATATATGTCCCGTTATATATAGACCTTAACACAGCATGTATCATGATATATGTCCCTTTATTTATAGACCTTAACACAGCATGTATAAGGATATATTATGTTCCGTTATTTATAGACTTTAACACAACATGTATAATGATATATGTCCCGTAATATATAGACCTTAACACAGCAAGCACCACGATACTTGCCCGTTATTTATACCCGTTAACACAACATACATTTATATTGCACCGACAAGATTTCGTATCATGAAACATGGGAACGATTAAAATATGTATCCTGTTATGTTAGAGTGAATTGAATATGTATGGTGATAAATGTGGGCGTTTTAGTGTTGATCGTTTTATATGAGAGATGGATATTATTTGAATCGTGAGGTGGATGTGTGTGTGTGTGTGTGGTAGTATTCTATCATTATTTCTTCGGTTCCATCTTTTAAACAAGCTCACACGGGTACTTACAAGCTGGAGTCATCCACGCAATGGGCGGCAGTCAACGCCCACCGGGAGTTCAGCAGAGAGCAGCCACAGGTGTGAGTTATCTCCCCTGACGATCGGAGCTTCCTGAGCGAACCCTGCCATTTCCACGTGTTAGGCCCTGCCTCCGAGCCTCCGACAATGTGCGAGGCAACGTCAGCACCTTAAGAAACGAAGATAGATATTAAAGTCATATATGTTAGGATGAGTTGTTTTACAATATTCCAGCCAAAGTACAGAGCAGCAATCCTACAGAGTCCTCGTGTGAAGTTGGCTGACCTTAAGAGGGTAACAGAAGGCTGCTCAGGACCAATCACTTCCTACTAGATTCTGTCCAACACATTGCCAAGCTTTGGCACAAACATAGTATCTTAAGCAACATGAATGAGTGGCTCGATCCTTATATTCCGTCTTCGCCATGTTTGTGGTTTTGACACAGAGATCCATCCATGGTACGAGACAGATTATGTACAGGGCTTCATGGAAAATGATAAATACAAAAATCTTTGGAATAGGCCCGTTTACAGCCTCAGACCTATCCAGGCCAACAAACCTGATCTTGTTCTTTTTTTAATAAATCCAATGAAATCATTTATATCATTGAATTTTCTGCCCCTTTCGACACTAATGTGATTAACAAGATTGGGGCAAACATGGCAAATATGTAGACCTCGCTTTCGAAATGTCACGCTTGCATCCTAAGTACCAAGTTGTCCGACTCCCCATTGTTCTCAGTACCTTAGGTTTTGTACCTCCCAATCTGCTGATTGACATTGGGAGAGTACCCGGGTTTGCTATCAAGAATACAGCCCTTCTGACAATCTGGGTAATGCAGAAGGCTGCAGTGTTGGGGAGTCTTTCATAGTCTCCGAAACGTTTTGGGCGGGTTTGACTAGGCAGCGCTTCCCGGTAGAAGTCCCTTTCGCTGTGCAGGCTGCGTGTAGAGGGGAAGGGGCCCTGAGCTGATGATGAGCCTAACCAGCCTGACAGGATCACCCAAACCCTCTTTGTTGTATATTTTATTTTAATCTGTACATAATAAAATATTATTTTTTAAACAATTGGAGGCTCACATGTACCACCCAAAGGGGGACATACGTCCGCAATACAGTCTGACACTTACCGACAACAGCAACACCGAGACAGAAAATCAGCAACGTCTTCATTCTGATATTTGACAACAACATCGGCAACGGCGATTTATAAGCAGCCCAAGCAGTCAGGTGCATGATTCGCAGAGCCACGTCACTGCATGTGCAGCATGACCGGCCCCTCGAACACTCAAACATCTTTCCTTTCTCATCCAACGTGGAGATAAAACGTTTTGAGGTTTCAAAGTTTACAACTGTTATATATTTAAATAACTAATCTAAATGCTGTCAAGTATGTTATTTTTATAAAATTATGTAGCAGTATCACGAGTGTGGGTGACGCCTGTTTGTTCAGTTATTAAACAAATAATGTTAACTTTGCAAAATACTTTTTTTTTTTTAAAAAGTCGTCGTAGTATCACGAGTCTAACAGAAAGATGGCAATCTCATAGTAAGCAGTGTTATAGTCTTGGCTTTGTTCTAGTTTCAGTGTGGGCGATAATCCATACGGCGGCATAAACACCACACTACAGCGTCACAAACACCACACTACAGCGTCACACACACTGTACAACAACGTTACACACACCACACTACAGTGTCACACACAACAGTGTCACACACACCACACTACAGCGTCACAAACACCACACTACAGCGTCACACACACCACACTACAGCGTCACACACACCACACTACAGCGTCACACACACCACACTACAGCGTCACACACACAGTACAACAACGTTACACACACCACACTACAGCGTCACACACACCACACTACAGCGTCACACACACCACACTACAGCGTCACAAACACCACACTACAGTGTCACACACACCACACTACAGCGTCACAAACACCACACTACAGCGTCACACACACCACACTATAGCGTCACAAACACCACACTACAGCATCACACACACACCACACAACAGTGTCACACACACCACTCTACAGCGTCACACACACCACACTACAGCGTCATACACACCAAACTACAGCATCCCACACACACCACACTACAGCGTCACACACACTGTACAACAACGTTACACGAACCACACTACAGCGTCACACACACCACACTACAGAATCCCACACACATCACACTACAGTGTCACACACAACAGTGTCACACACACCACACTACAGCGTCACAAACACCACACTACAGCGTCACACACACCACACTACAGCGTCACACACACCACACTACAGCGTCACACACACAGTACAACAACGTTACACACACCACACTACAGCGTCACACACACCACACTACAGCGTCACACACACCACACTACAGCGTCACAAACACCACACTACAGTGTCACACACACCACACTACAGCGTCACAAACACCACACTACAGCGTCACACACACCACACTATAGCGTCACAAACACCACACTACAGCATCACACACACACCACACAACAGTGTCACACACACCACTCTACAGCGTCACACACACCACACTACAGCGTCACACACACCACACTACAGCATCCCACACACACCACACTACAGCGTCACACACACTGTACAACAACGTTACACGAACCACACTACAGCGTCACACACACCACACTACAGAATCCCACACACATCACACTACAGTGTCACACACATCACACTACAGCGTCACACACGTTGTACAGCAACGTTACACACACTGTACAACAACATCACCCACACAGTACAGGAACGTCACACAGACTGTACAGCAACGTTACACCTACACGATACAACATTATCACCAACACCACAAGACAGCACGTTCACCAACATCATCTTTAAGCTAATCACTTTAAAACAAATCATATTATTTTTCAGTACTTGCGGCGTTGTTTGACATTTCTTCCACACCTGATACGTCACACGTTGTTACCATAACGACAGAGGAGTGACAATGATACGATTTTAACGCAGACGAGTAATTAGCAAAAACTGTTTGCATCTACATTCACTGGTTTAGAATTGCGATCTTCGCGTGAGGCAGTCGACGTTGGGTTCGCCTGAGTTGTTCACATAGAGAAATTCGGGCGAGGCAGGGAAGAAGGTAGGTTTGAACTTCGTTCTGAAAACATTCGTTGTTCTCAGTTGTTACCATGGTGACTTCGTGCAAAGCGTTCTTAGCGTTAAGGTGATCGTAACTCCCATACCTTAACACAGACTTACGACAGTCGTAGCGCTAAAGTTGTTTTGTAAAACGGCACCCTGGATTCCAGTCTTGCTCCTTCGTATTTCGTCATCACTGAGGCGCGGTTTGGCGGAACAATCTCTGAACTTGTGTTGAGATTGTGTGAAGTGTCTGAACTTGGTTGAGGTTGTGTGAAGTGTCTGAACTTATGTTGAGGTTGTGTGAAGTGTCTGAACTCGTGTTGAGGTTGTGTGAAGTGTCTGAACTTGTGTTGAGGTTGTGTGAAGTGTCTGAACTTGTGTTCAGGTTGTGTGAAGTGTCTGAACTTGTGTTCAGGTTGTGTGAAGTGTCTGGACTTGTGTTGAGGTTGTGTGAAGTGTCTGAACTTGTGTTCAGATTGTGTGAAGTGTCTGAACTTGTGTTGAGGTTGTGTGAAGTGTCCGATTACTGTCAGACAGAAGGCATCTTAATGTCAGCTCATTCCGCGTTGGACGACCTCAACCAATATGGTGGTACACATATTATCGACATGATGAGTAGATCGCCCGACAGGAGGACAACGGCCCGGGTTGTGAAACTAATTCATATTTATTTTATCTAAAGTTGAATGTCTGTATTGACAATAATTGCGTCGCGCGCGTAAATTGACGGGGTAAATTCTCGTTAGAGACCTTGATTACTGAATATAGGGCCTGTATACATTCCTTATCATAATAATTAAGACAGGAGATACTTCATATCAACTGAAGGCACGGGTGGCCATATAGTGAGCAGAGTTGTGTCCCCTAGTCGTTCCAGGACCCGATGCTCATGGATTATAACTTTAGATTCGACCTGATAAGGATTCTTGTTTCTTCAATTCGTGGATTTAATCAAAGGGGATACCGACAAACGCGACAGACTAAGACATATCGAGATATACCGAGATATACCGTTACATACCGTGACATACCGCCACATACTGTGATAAACCGTGACATACCGAGACATACCGAGATATATCGAGACATACCGTGACATCCCGAGACATACCGAGATATACCGTCACATACCGTGACATACCGCCACATACTGTGATAAACCGTCACATACCGAGATATACCGAGACATACCATGACATACCGTCACATACTGTGATAAACCGTGACATACCGAGACATACCGTCACATACCATGACATACCGTAAAATACCGTGATATACCGTCACATACCGTCACTTACAGTGATATACCGAGACATACCGTCACATACTGATAAACCGCGACATTCGTCACATACCGTCACTTACCGTGATAAACCGAGACACACCGTCACTTACAGTGATAAACCGAGACATACCGTCACTTACAGTGATAAACCGAGACATACCGTCACTAACAGTGATAAACCGTGACATTCGTCACATACCGTCACTTACAGTGATAAACCGAGACATACCGAGATATACCGAGACATACCGAGATATACCGAGACATACCGTCACATAAAGGTAAACCGCGACATTCGTCACATACCGTCACTTACCGTGATAAACCGAGACATACCGTCACTTACAGTGATAAACCGAGACATACCGTCACTTACAGTGATAAACCGAGACATACCGAGATATACCGAGACATACCGAGATATACCGAGACATACCGTCACATACTGATAAACCGTGACATTCGTCACATACTGTCACTTACCGTGATAAACCGAGACATACCGTCACTTACAGTGATAAACCGTGACATACCGAGATATACCGAGACATACCGAGATATACCGAGACATACCGTCACATACTGATAAACCGGGACATTCGTCACATACCGTCACTTACCGTGATAAACCGCGACATTCGTCACATACCGTCACTTACTTTGATAAACCGCGACATTCGTCATATACCGTCACTTATAGTGATAAACCGCGACATTCGTCACATACCGTCACTTACCGTGATAAACCGTGACATTCGTCACATACTGTCACTTACCGTGATAATCCGCGACATTCGTCACATACCGTCACTTACAGTGATAAACCGTGACATTCGTCACATACCGTCACTTACAGTGATAAACCGAGACATACCGAGATATACCGAGACATACCGAGATATACCGAGACATACCGTCACATACTGATAAACCGCGACATTCGTCACATACCGTCACTTACAGTGATAAACCGAGACATACCGTCACTTACAGTGATAAACCGAGACATACCGAGATATACCGAGACATACCGTCACATACTGATAACACGCGACATTTACCGTGACATTCGTCACATACTGTCACTTACCGTGATAAACCGCGACATTCGTCATATACCGTCACTTACAGTGATAAACCGTGACATTCGTCACATACCGTCACTTACAGTGATAAACCGAGACATACCGAGATATACCGAGACATACCGAGATATACCGAGACATACCGTCACATACTGATAAACCTCGACATTCGTCACATACCGTCACTTACCGTGATAAACCGAGACATACCGTCACTTACAGTGATAAACCGTCACATACCGAGATATACCGAGACCTACCGAGATATACCGAGACATACCGTCACATACTGATAAACCGCGACATTCGTCACATACTGTCACTTACCGTGATAAACCCGAGACACACCATCACTTACAATGATAAACCGAGACATACCGTCACTTACAGTGATAAACCGTGACATTCTTCACATAACGTCACTTACAGTGATAAACCGAGACATACCGAGATATACCGAGACATACCGAGATATACCGAGACATACCGTCACATACTGATAAACTGCGACATTCGTCACATACCGTAAATTACAGTGATAAACCGAGACATACCGTCACTTACAGTGATAAACCGAGACATACCGAGATATACCGAGACATACCGTCACATACTGATAAACCGCGACATTCGTCACATACCGTCACTTACAGTGATAAACCGAGACATACCGTCACTTACAGTGATAAACCGTGACATACCGAGATATACCGAGACATACTGAGATATACCGAGACATACCGTCACATACTGATAAACCGCGACATTCGTCACATACCGTCACCTACAGTGATAAACCGAGACATACCGTCACTTACAGTGATAAACCGTGACATTCGTCACATACCGTCACTTACAGTGATAAACCGTGACATACCGAGATATAACGAGACATACCGAGATATACCGAGACATACCGACACATTCTGATAAACCGCGACGTTCGTCACATACCGTCACTTACCGTGATAAACCGAGACACACCGTCACTTACCGTGATAAACCGAGACATACCGTCACTTACTGTGATAAACCGAGACATACCGTCACTTACAGTGATAAACCGTGACATTCGTCACATACCGTAACTTACAGTGATAAACCGAGACATACCGTCACTTACAGTGATAAACCGAGACATACCGTCACTTACAGTGATAAACCGAGACATACCGAGATATACCGAGACATACCGAGATATACCGAGATATACCGTCACATACTGATAAACCGTGACATTCGTCACATACTGTCACTTACCGTGATAAACCGAGACATACCGTCACTTACAGTGATAAACCGTGACATACCGAGATATACCGAGACATAACGAGATATACCGAGACATACCGTCACATACTGATAAACCGCGACATTCGTCACATACTGTCACGTACCGTGATAAACCGAGACGTACGGTTACTTACAGTGATAAACCGTGACATACCGATATATACCGAGACATACCGAGATATACCGAGACATACCGTCACATACTGATAAACCGGGACATTCGTCACATACCGTCACTTACCGTGATAAACCGCGACATTCGTCACATACCGTCACTTACTGTGATAAACCGCGACATTCGTCATATACCGTCACTTACCGTGATAAACCGTGACATTCGTCACATACCGTCACTTACCGTGATAATCCGCGACATTCGTCACATACCGTCACTTACAGTGATAAACCGTGACATTCGTCACATACCGTCACTTACAGTGATAAACCGTGACATACCGAGATATACCGAGACATACCGAGATATACCGAGACATACCGTCACATACTGATAAACCGCGACATTCGTCACATACCGTCACTTACAGTGATAAACCGAGACATACCGAGATATACCGAGACATACCGTCACATACTGATAACACGCGACATTCACCGTGACATTCGTCACATACTGTCACTTACCGTGATAAACCGCGACATTCGTCATATACCGTCACTTACCGTGATAAACCGAGACATACCGTCACTTACAGTGATAAACCGTGACATACCGAGATATACCGAGACATACCGAGATATACCGAGACATACCGTCACATACTGATAAACCGCGACTTTAGTCACATACTGTCACTTACCGTGATAAACCGAGACATACCGTTACTTACAGTGATAAACCGTGACATACCGAGATATACCGAGACATACCGAGATATACCGAGACATACCGTCACATACTGATAAACCGGGACATTCGTCACATACCGTCACTTACCGTGATAAACCGCGACATTCGTCACATACCGTCACTTACTGTGATAAACCGCGACATTCGTCATATACCGTCACTTATAGTGATAAACCGCGACATTCGTCACATACCGTCACTTACCGTGATAAACCGTGACATTCGTCACATACCGTCACTTACCGTGATAATCCGCGACATTCGTCACATACCGTCACTTACAGTGATAAACCGTGACATTCGTCACATACCGTCACTTACAGTGATAAACCGAGACATACCGAGATATACCGAGACATACCGAGATATACCGAGACATACCGTCACATACTGATAAACCGCGACATTCGTCACATACCGTCACTTACAGTGATAAACCGAGACATACCGTCACTTACAGTGATAAACCGAGACATACCGAGATATACCGAGACATACCGTCACATACTGATAACACGCGACATTCACCGTGACATTCGTCACATACTGTCACTTACAGTGATAAACCGCGACATTCGTCATATACCGTCACTTACAGTGATAAACCGTGACATTCGTCACATATCGTCACTTACAGTGATAAACCGAGACATACCGAGATATACCGAGACATACCGAGATATACCGAGACATACCGTCACATACTGATAAACCTCGACATTCGTCACATACCGTCACTTACCGTGATAAACCGAGACATACCGTCACTTACAGTGATAAACCGTCACATACCGAGATATACCGAGACATACCGAGATATACCGAGACATACCGTCACATACTGATAAACCGCGACATTCGTCACATACTGTCACTTACCGTGATAAACCGAGACACACCATCACTTACAGTGATAAACCGAGACATACCGTCACTTACAGTGATAAACCGTGACATTCGTCACATAACGTCACTTACAGTGATAAACCGAGACATACCGAGATATACCGAGACATACCGAGATATACCGAGACATACCGTCACATACTGATAAACCGCTACATTCGTCACATACCGTCACTTACAGTGATAAACCGAGACATACCGAGATATACCGAGACATACCGTCACATACTGATAACACGCGACATTCACCGTGACATTCGTCACATACCGTCACTTACCGTGATAAACCGCGACATTCGTCATATACCGTCACTTACAGTGATAAACCGTGACATTCGTCACATATCGTCACTTACAGTGATAAACCGAGACATACCAAGATATACCGAGACATACCGAGATATACCGAGACATACCGTCACATACTGATAAACCTCGACATTCGTCACATACCGTCACTTACCGTGATAAACCGAGACATACCGTCACTTACAGTGATAAACCGTCACATACCGAGATATACCGAGACATACCGAGATATACCGAGACATACCGTCACATACTGATAAACCGCGACATTCGTCACATACTGTCACTTACCGTGATAAACCGAGACACACCATCACTTACAGTGATAAACCGAGACATACCGTCACTTACAGTGATAAACCGTGACATTCGTCACATAACGTCACTTACAGTGATAAACCGAGACATACCGAGATATACCGAGACATACCGAGATATACCGAGACATACCGTCACATACTGATAAACCGCGACATTCGTCACATACCGTCACTTACAGTGATAAACCGAGACATACCGTCACTGAGAGTGATAAACCGTGACATACCGAGATATACCGAGACATACCGAGATATACCGAGACATACCGTCACATACTGATAAACCGCGACATTCGTCACATACCGTCACCTACAGTGATAAACCGAGACATACCGTCACTTACAGTGATAAACCGCGACATTCGTCACATACCGTCACTTACAGTGATAAACCGTGACATACCGAGATATAACGAGACATACCGAGATATACCGAGACATACCGTCACATACTGATAAACCGCGACATTCGTCACATACCGTCACTTACCGTGATAAACCGAGACACACCGTCACTTACCGTGATAAACCGAGACATACCGTCACTTACTGTGATAAACCGAGACATACCGTCACTTACAGTGATAAACCGTGACATTCGTCACATACCGTCACTTACAGTGATAAACCGTGACATACCGAGATATACCGAGACATACCGAGATATACCGAGACATACCGTCACATACTGATAAACCGCGACATTCGTCACATACCGTCACTTACCGTGATAAACCGAGACACACCGTCACTTACAGTGATAAACCACGACATTCGTCACATACCGTCACTTACAGTGATAAACCGAGACATACCGTCACTTACAGTGATAAACCGAGACATACCGTCACTTACCGTGATAAACCGTGACATTCGTCACATACCGTCACTTACAGTGATAAACCGAGACATACCGAGATATACCGAGACATACCGAGATATACCGAGACATACCGTCACATACTGATAAACCTCGACATTCGTCACATACTGTCACTTACCGTGATAAACCGAGACATACCGTTACTTACAGTGATAAACCGTGACATACCGAGATATACCGAGACATACCGTCACATACAGATAAACCGCGACATTCGTCACATGCTGTCACTTACCGTGATAAACCGAGACATACCGTTACTTACAGTGATAAACCGAGACACACCGTCACTTACAGTGATAAACCGAGACATACCGTCACGTACAGTGATAAACCGTGACACACCTGAAATACAGTGAGAACAGTCGTTAAACCAAAGTTAATCGCTCGCTCATATCCGTATTCTTGTTGTAGCGTGCAGCCGCCATGGCCAGGTCCAGGTTAGCCGGACTCCTCACAGCTGCTGGGATAGTCTTCGTGGTCCGATACCTCTCCACACACACGACACGCCCTCCGCATTACAGGGCAACAGGGTCATTGGATCTACACCCCCAGACAGGTCACGGAAGATGTGGACGACTGATGAGAGGATACCCAGATCACGTGAACACGACAGTCTCACAACCCTGGCATACGACACGTGTTTCCAGAAGGGTTGAGCGAGGCTGTGGCGATTTGGTACAACCCCATCACCGCCGTCGTCCTGTGTTGGAAGAGGAGACGGCGTTCCCGTTGGCGTTTGCCCTCATCGTCCACACCGCCCCTGATCAGGTGGCCCAGCTGATGAGAACAATCTACCGACCTCACAACGTGTACTGTATCCATGTTGACAGGAAGGCAAGCCGGTCTGTGAGTGTCCCCCTGGCTCAGTGGGCCACGTGTTTCCACAACGTAGTGGTCCTGCAGGAAGTGGGGGTGGTCTACGGTGGCAATGGCTTAGTGACGTCGGCAGTTGCGTGCATGAAGATGTTGGCAAACAGCACGATAGAGTGGAAGTACTACATTCTTCTCTCCGGACAAGAGTTCGTTCTTAAGACCAATCTGGAGATTGTGCAAATATTGAAAATACTGAATGGCACAAATGATGTTGAACAATATCCGTTCCCTAGGGATCTACGATGGAGGTTTGAAACACGGTATTCGGTCGTCAATGGGACCATAAAGACTCGACTTAATGACACCAAACCAGCCTTCAAGCGGAACATCACTCTCTACAAGGGAAGCATGTATGGGATGTTTTCCCGCGCTTTTGCTATTTATATTCTCGAGAGCGACATTGCAGCAGAGTTGATAGACTGGGCAGCGGATAGCTATGCGCCGGAGGAATTGGTGTGGGCGACGTTGAATGCCCAGCCCGGGGCTCCTGGGGGATATGACGTCACTGTCAAGCATGATGTCACACAGAACCAGGTTCTGTCTCGAGCCGTGATCTGGGAGTGGGACAGAGCGCGATGTCAGGGCAAGTTTGTTCGGTCCGTGTGTGTGTTCAGCCATAGAGATCTCCCCTGGTTGGTCAGTCGACCGGAAGTCGTGGCTAACAAATTCCATTCAAACTTGGATCAGTTGGTTATTGACTGTCTCGAGGGTTGGTTACATCGTAAAGCGATGCTGGGCGAAACATTTAACTTGAACTGGTATCACTATAGAAACGTCCCGCAGTCCCGACTGCGCAGCTGCAAGTAGCGCGTGTTACAGACGTAACCTGTCACCGTCGAAATTACTGCTTTGAGCTGTTAAAACAACAAACAAAACCTCGTAAGTCACCGTGGTAATCAAGAAGAACATGGGCTGCGTTTTGGAGACGTATAGAGGACATGTTGGGTGTTTTCTGGCGACGTTTCCTGGCGACGTATCATTTATGAGTGACAGGGGACGACGACGGTCAGTCATGCGTTTCGCGAGGCGCAAGCCTGGCACTGAGAACAGGGCCCACTTGCACAGAGCGATCTTAGCGCTAAGATGATCGTAACTCCCATGCTTTAACATAGGCTTACGGTAGTTGTAGCGCTAAGATCGCTTTGTGCAAGTGGGACCAGGAGTCTTAGTGTACGTCTCATTGGTTGTTATACTGAGCAAAGACGGCGAGAGCAGCCCAGGCCCCGGCTCAGGACCAACTACAAGACAAGCTACATTGGACAGCTCACTGGAACCGAGCTTGAAATATTGCTAGGTACATCGTCAATACAGCATCAGAGACACTCCAGTATATCGTTAATACAGCCAGGAAGTCAATACATCGTCAATACAGCATGGGAGGCACTCCAGTACATCGTCAATACAGCATGGGAGGCACTCCAGTACATCGTCAATACAGCATGGGAGGCACTCCGGTACATCGTCAATACAGCATGGGAGGCACTCCAGTACATCGTCAATACAGCCAGGAAGTCAATACATCGTCAATACAGCATGGGAGGCACTCCGGTACATCGTCAATACAGCATGGGAGGCACTCCAGTACAACGTCAATACAGCATCAGAGGCACTCCAGTATATCGTCAATACAGCCAGGAAGTCAATACATCGTCAATACAGCATGGGAGGCACTCCGGTACATCGTCAATACAGCATGGGAGGCACTCCAGTACATCGTCAATACAGCATGGGAGGCACTCCAGTACATCGTCAATACAGCATGGGAGGCACTCCAGTACATCGTCAATACAGCATCGGAGGCACTCCGGTACATCGTCAATACAGCATGGGAGGTACTCCAGTACACCGTCAATACAGCATGGGAGGCACTCCAGTACATCGTCAATACAGCATGGGAGGCACTCCGGTACATCGTCAATACAGCAAGGGAGGCGCTCCGGTGCATCGTCAATACAGCATCGGAGGCACTCCGGTACACCGTCAATACAGCATGGGAGGCACTCCAGTACATCGTCAATACAGCATGGGAGGCACTCCAGTACATCGTCAATACAGCCAGGCTGTCACTTTTGTATATCACCAATACAGCCAGGAAGTCAATACATCGTCAATACAGCATGGGAATTTTCTTTTCATTATCACAAAAACAGAGAAGGTGTCAGTATAATTTTCTAAAAACGCATTCCACGATAATCCCGTGATTGATGTAAAAAGCCGGGATACGATGTCATGCATCGTCCAAGTCCGCGAACTGACACCCTGGTTGGCTACTGAAGTCCACTACCAACCCGTATGTTCACAACCTGTAAAGATCCGGGGTAGAATTGATCTTCAACGACCCACGCTTGTCATAAGAGGCGACTACAGGGATCGGGGGGGACAGGCTTGCTGACTTGGTTGATGCATGTCATCCATCGTTTCCCAACTGCGTGGATCGATGCTCATGATGTCAATCACTGGATTGTCCGGTCCGGATTCGTTTGTTCACGGACCGCCGTCATATAGCTGGACTATTGCTGAGTGCGGCATCAAACAACAAACAAACCAACAAACATGTCGTATGTTCACGGGGTGGTACAAGTGAGGCCCAGGTTGACATGTTGTTGAAACAAGCCGCGTAAACCATGTGTCCGCTCACTGCTACGTCATGCTCCGTCACGTGGCCTGGTCAGGTTATGTCAGACCTCGGGCGTCAGTAGTTGGTGATGCCGTGAAGCGTTACCGTCAAATAAAGTTATCATCACGAACAAGAACGTTCGTTGACACTGCTGGTGCCTTTATTAGTTTTATCCAAATTTGTAATATCCGAAGTCGACTGTAGGCGAATAAATTAGACAATGACGAAGTGAAACACAACAGCTGGACGTTCACTTGTTTTAATATCTCGAAATGACATGATACTTTACACAGAGGAGGCAATATTTAATATATAAAAATGCTGTTTCAGAAATAATTAGTTGGATACTTGTGCGCGTTTTTTAAATAAAATGTCGGAGAAGCTTGACAGTAACAACAGCTGTGGTGTAGCAGCATCTCTGGTCGGCCCCGCAGTGATACAAGGAAGTCCATTCCAGCCTTTCCACATAGAGCAAACATAGATTTAAGCAGGACCGAACGTTCATTTCGAAACAACAAGATTCGAGATTAGAAGCATGTTAATCCATAGCTGAGTGTTTTCTAGAAAGGTCTTTGGGCATGCGGCATCCCCGGGCCCTCCACTGTGATGCCTTCCATCGTATGGGGTTGCCATGGCAACAGTGGCTGGTGACGGGGTTGCCCTGGCATGTGGACCTCGGTACTCTTCACGGCCATGATGTTCCTCACGGGCATGGCGATCCTACTCTCCAGCTCCTTGACCAGGGCGAGCTTGGACATCATCTTCAGGCGGTATACCTTGGAGATAGCACGGCTGAAAGAGGAGGCATTGTGGATATAGTAACGACAGCATCTTCAGGCGGTATACCTTGGCGATAGCACGGCTGAAAGAGGAGGCATTGCGGATATAGTAAGGACAGCATCTTCAGGCGGTATACCTTGGAGATAGCACGCCTGAAAGAGGAGGCATTGTGGATATAGTAAGGACAGCATCTTCCGGCGGTATACCTTGGAGATAGCACGGCTGAAAGAGGAGGCATTGTGGATATAGTAAGGACAGCATCTTCAGGTGGTATACCTTGGAGATAGCACGGTTGAAAGAGGAGGCATTGCGGATATAGTAACGACAGCATGTTCTACAGGAGAGAAGCTGATAGTGTGTAACCAGTGGCGAGGTCCACGGTAGCCATGGTGCCAATGACTGAAGAAACACGACTGACAAGTGTTGTATTTGGGACAACACTTTCGTAGTTCAAATTGCAGTACTTCATTGGGTCGAGTCCCATCCACAAAAAAAGGAAGTTTCGTTTACGGAAGCCTCGGTGGCCAAGTGTGCTGGCGATTAGGTGCCTCATCCTGAAAGTGTGGGTTCGAATCCCGGATGGGACTCAACTAAAATAATTAATAGAATTTTACAAAGAAAGTGTTATCCCAAATATAGCATTTGTTGTAGTTGACCATGTTCTAAAAGGGATTGTACAATAATGAGACTAAACGTGTCAGTGTGGGTACAGATGTACTGACGGATGGTTCTCCTTTTCAGCTACCAGTATATAATGACAACCTCTTATTTCTATGTGGACGCTTACTAAAAACATCGGCCACAATTCAAGTATCATTTCAGTGGGCAGTATGTGCTTCTGACTTTTACCACATCCCTGTCAGACAAAACAACTATCGTCTCCGACTGCATGAATTACTGTTATAATCTCCGTGCACCACGCTCGAGGAAGTGCACCGTGTCAAGTTCTCATGACTAAAGTTTCCTCCACTGCAGTTTGTTTGTTGTTTAACTCCGCACTCAGCAATATTCAAGCTATATGACGGCTGTCTGTAAACAATAGAGTCTGGACCAGAAAATCCAGTGATTGACATCATGAGCATCGATCTTCGCAATTGGGATACGATGACATGCATCAGCCAAGTCAGCGAGCCTGATCATCTGATCCCGTCAGTCGCCATTTACGGCAAGCGTGGGTTGCTGAAGACCTATTCTACCCCGGATCTTCACGGGTCCCCTCCAATGTAGGGTTTGCTATAACTCGAGAGCCGACGGATCTGCGGCATGAAGAACTTACAACTGGAGCAGGTCCGTGTAGAAGCTGCCGAGGACGGCCTTTCTGATATCGTCAATCTGACTCTCGAAGTCCAGCAATTTCTCCACAGTGAGCTGGGGGTCGGCGTGACCTGAAACGAACACGTCAACCTACAGACACGTCAACCTACAGACACGTCAACCTACAGACACGTCAACCTACAGACACGTCAACCTACAGACACGTTAACCTACAGACACGTCAACCTACAGACACGTCAACCTACAGACACGACAACCTACAGGCACGTCAACATACAGACACGTCAACATACAGACACGTCAACATACAGACACGTCAACATACAGACACGACAACCTACAGACACGTCAACATACAGACACGTCAACCTACAGACACATATAATATTATCATAACAAATTTTGCTTCTGTATCTGCAACTACACACGTGTCCAGATAGACCATATTTCTGGTTGCCATGCTTACCTTGCATCCGGTGCATCGCCCGGGGCCTAGGCTGACCACGCATTGCCATCATGGGTGGCACCCCCGAGGGTGGGGTCTTCAGGTCTTTCTTCCCTTCCTTGTCTTCAGCTGACGCAGCATGAGGCATACCAGGACGCATCATAGGAGGCATACCAGATGCCATCATGCGACTGGCTCTTTGTCTGGCCAGCGCACGCAACATCATAGGAGACATGTCCCCTCGCACACCGGGCATACGTTGTTGTCCGGGCATTCTCGTAGGCATGGCCTGTGCTTGCATTCCTTGGGCCATCATAGGAGAGGACATACCTTGCATTCCTTGGGCCATCATTGAAGGGGGCATACCTTGCATTCCTTGGGCCATCATTGAAGGGGGCATACCATGGCCTTGCATTCCTTGGGCCATCATTGAAGGGGGCATACCTTGTATTCCTTGGGCCATCATTGAAGGGGGCATACCATGGCCTTGCATTCCTTGGGCCATCATTGAAGGGGGCATACCTTGTATTCCTTGGGCCATCATTGAAGGGGGCATACCATGGCCTTGCATTCCTTGGGCCATCATTGAAGGAGGCATACCATGGCCTTGCATTCCTTGGGCCATCATAGAGCGGGGCATACCATGGCCTTGCATTCCTTGGGCCATCATTGAAGGGGGCATACCATGGCCTTGCATTCCTTGGACCATCATCGAAGGAGGCATGTCTTGCATTCCTTGGGCCATCATTGAAGGGGGCATACCATGGCCTTGCATCATATGCATTCCTTGTGGCATTTGAATTGGCTCTCCAAACAAAGATGGCGGCAGTCCATTCTCAGTTCCGTTCTGGTCAGTTCCCCGGGGTGGCATTGCTCCCATCGGAGGCCCACCTGACATTCCCAGAGGCCCACCAAACAAATTTCCCTGGGGTGGTCCTGGCATACCTTCCCCCATGGGGGACCCTCCCTCCAGCATCCCGGGACGCTGAGCACCACCCATCACTGGCATCCCCATGCCAAAGCCCATTGGGGCACCACCCATGGCAAACGGACCAGGAACAACTTCCTTGGCAGGAACCTTCGGTGCGGATGAATCAGGTGTCTGTGGGGCGTCTGAAATGTAAGGTGTTGGTGAGCACTCTATGATAGGACCAGCAAGTGACAGTTATCCCCCTCAACCTTACCCTTCCTGCTGTATCGTGTGTCTCCTCACACAATCTTCACTGGTAATGACATGCACGTACTGGCTCTCCCAAACCTTACCCTTCCTGATGTATCGTGTGTTTCCTCACATAATCTTCACTGGTAATGACATGAACGTACTGGCTCGCCCAAACCTTACCCTTCCTGCTGTATCGTGTGTTTCCTCACATAATCTTCACTGGTAATGACATGCACGTACTGGCTCGCCCAAACCTTACCCTTCCTGCTGTATCGTGTGTTTCCTCACATAATCTTCACTGGTAATGACATGAACGTACTGGCTCTCCCAAACCTTACCCTTCCTGCTGTATCGTGTGTTTCCTCACATAATCTTCACTGGTAATGACATGCACGTACTGGCTCTCCCAAACCTTACCCTTCCTGCTGTATCGTGTGTTTCCTCACATAATCTTCACCGGTAATGACATGCACGTACTGGCTCTCCCCACCCTTACCCTTCCTGCTGTATCGTGTGTTTCCTCACATAATCTTCACTGGTAATGACATGCACGTACTGGCTTGCCCAAACCTTACCCTTCCTGCTGTATCGTGTGTTTCCTCACATAATCTTCACTGGTAATGACATGCACGTACTGGCTCGCCCAAACCTTACCCTTCCTGCTGTATCGTGTGTTTCCTCACATAATCTTCACTGGTAATGACATGCACGTACTGGCTCTCCCAAACCTTACCCTTCCTGCTGTATCGTGTGTTTCCTCACATAATCTTCACTGGTAATGACATGCACGTACTGGCTCGCCCCACCCTTACCCTTCCTGATGTATCGTGTGTTTCCTCACATAATCTTCACTGGTAATGACATGCACGTACTGGCTCTCCCCATTAGGGTGAAACACCGTGATGTAACTGGAGTACCATTCAAAACTACGTTAAACTTCATTCACTCACTCACTCACTCACTCACTCACTCTGCGTCATGCACGGATTACAATCAGTGACAGTCAGAGGGTAGAGGCATAACCAGTATGTTTGTGATATGAACTGTGAGAGATTACCTGTTGTCTCAGCATTGTGGTTCCTGGCAACAAACGGGCTCTCTGTAAACAGAAACACTTAACGTACATTCAACATGTTAAACCAGGGCTGTCACCTTTGACATGGGTAGTTAGGATCGGCCCACACACTTGAGACATCCGGGACACCACACAGAAATAACCCGCCCTCGATCATAACTATTTGTATGAAATAAACTACAATGTATTTATTCATCTCCATCATAATGACTAAATAGACACAGAAGTGAGGACGAGAATTGTGTATGTTGTCTATATCGGGAGGCGGATATATATTTCATATACAACGTGGCAATAAACATTGATTTCTCTCAAACCCATGACTCACGAAGGTGAGGCGCTTTGAAATTGATTACAGTTCAAATCTGATTGACAGGTCACGCTTTACCTCACTTCCTCATCTGACTAGAGACCCACAAGTCATCGTCTACGGTATTACAATGTTATTAGTAAAGAAATAAACATTTGAAAACTAATAGTGATGTAACAACATCATCAAAGACATCGGTTATAGTTAACGTCATTACGCTGAAACGTCAATACGACTAGCGTTAAGTTGCTGTCGACAGATAGCTGCTACAAGGACTTTGTTCGAAAATATGCAACGTTTGATGATGACTTTAAGACTCTGGTTTACAGGACGTCCCGACGTTGAGTGTTTGAGCGTTACCTTTGGCCAGCTGCCTCTTTTCCCGGGACGGTCTGGCGGCGGCCGTCGCCAGCAGCAGGCAGAGAGTTAATCCCGTTACTAGTTTCATCTGTTGATAGAAGGATGTTTTTGTGAGAGTACAAGGGATTTGGTCATGTCGCACTATGGATACTCTGTTAAACAGAGTTGGTGCCTTCAATGTTTAGATGACAGATTAAAGGGGTAACATATTTAATTTTAATGGGTTTTTTTGTTTTGTTTTGTTTTGTTTTTTGTGTGTGTAACTTTGCACTCAGCAATATTCCAGCTAAATGACGGCTGTCTGTAAATGATCGAGTCTGGACCAGACAATCCAGTGATTGACATCATGAGCATCGATCCACGCAATTGGGATACGATGACATGCGGGGAGGTCGGGTAGCCTAGTGGTTTAAGCAACTAATGCCGAGTGTGTGACATCCATAAATTCTCTTCCTTATGTGTATCACTTCTAAATGTCTTTCCAAAATATCTGTTTAGGTATAGCACCACAGCAATTAACTTATTTGGTGAAATGTTTCAACGCACACCATGTGCAAACCCAACTTACTTTGCGGGACATGTGCATCCATGTGCACTTACCTGTCATCCCATCTTCACGGGAAACTCACATGTATTCTAAACTTATTGGGTAAGCGTCACATCTGTACATCTGGTGTCGTGTGTAAAATATAGAGATAACATTTACTTGTCCATTAACAGCACGAAGCAATCGTTTCGTACATAATCAACAGACTACACGTGCATGCCAACCAGTGGCTGGGACCACCTACCTTGAGAGTTGGGTATCCAGAGTGAAGATCCCTGCCGGAGTTGTCGGAGATTTATTTTATTTCATGTCCCTCTCGAGTTTCCCCGAGGGGTACTCATGTCTTAATGTCTGCCCCGGGGGTGGTGTAACGTCTCGTGATCACTTCCCTTAAATTAATTACACCCCACCCGCCCGATCAATCAGCAGCAAGACTTCCTGTTTCCTGAACTCGCCACAACACTGCACGCTCCCATGCTGTAGGGTGTGTAGCGAGTTGCGATTGTGTAATAGTGGATGCATTAGGATGAACAAGTTTCCAGTGAAAGATTAAGGCTAATGTTTCTTCGACTAGATTCAGAATTGGTCCGCTGCATCCGTCCTGAAAGTACAGTGTCTGGATTGACGGGGTTGGAACTGAGGAGGATTCACTGAATCATTCCGTACAGTGGTTGTAATCTATCAAGCTTGTGTAAACAGTGGAGTTGATCACTAACACATAGAGGTTATCACGCGAGTGTTTGTAGGGGAATCTATCAAGCTAGTGAAAACAGAGGAGTTATCACTAACACATAGAGGTTATCACGTGAGTGTTTTAAGGGGAATCTATCAACCTTGTGTAAACAGAGGAGTTGATCACTAACACAGAGAGGTTATCACGCGAGTGTTTGGAGGGGAATCTATTAAGCTATTGAAAAGAGAGGAGTTGATCACTAACACATAGAGGTTATCACGCGAGTGTTTTGAGGGGAATATATCAAGCTTGTGAAAACAGAGGAGTTCATCAGTAACACATAGAGGTTATCACGTGAGTCTTTGGAGGGGGATCTATCAAGCTTGTGAAAACAGCGGAGTTGATCACTAACACATAGAGGTTATCACGCGAGTGTTTTGAGGGGAATCTATCAAGCTTGTGTAAACTGTGGAGTTGGTCATTAAAACATAGAGGTTATCACGCGAGTGTTTGGAGGGGAATCTATCAAGCTTGTGAAAACAGAGGAGTTGATCACTAACACATAGAGGTTATCACGCGAGTGTTTTGAGGGAAATCTATCAAGCTTGTGTAAACAGTGGAGATGGTCATTAAAACATAGAGGTTATCACGCGAGCGTTTGGATGGGAATCTATCAAGCTTGTGAAAACAGAGGAGTTGATCACTAACACATAGAGGTTATCACGCGAGTGTTTTGAGGGGAATCTATCAAGCTTGTGTAAACAGTGGAGTTGGTCATTAAAACATAGAGGTTATCATGCGAGTGTTTGGAGGGGAATCTATCAAGCTTGTGAAAACAGAAGAGTTGATCACTAACACATAGAGGTAATCACGCGAGTGTTTGGAGGGGAATCTATCAAGCTTGTGTAAACCGCGGAGTTGATCACTAACACATAGAGGTTATCACGAGAGTGTTTTGATGGGAATCTATCAAGCTTGTGAAAAGAGAGGAGTTGATCACTAACACATAGAGGTTATCACGTTAGTATTTGGAGGAGAATCTATCAACCTTGTGTAAACAGCGGAGTTGATCACTAACACATAGAGGTTATCACGAGAGTGTTTGGAGGGGGATCTATCAAGCTTGTGAAAAGAGAGGAGTTGATTACTAACACATAGAGGTTATCACGCGAGTGTTTGGAGGGGGATCTATCAAGCTTGTGTAAACAGCGGAGTTGATCACTAACACATAGAGGTTATCACGAGAGTGTTTTGAGGGGAATCTATCAAGCTTGTGTAAATAGAGTAGTTGATCACTAACAAATAGAGGTTATTACGCGAGTGTTTGGAGGGGAATCTACAAAGCTTGTGTAAACAGAGGAGTTGATCACTAACACATAGAGGTTATCACGCGAGTGTTTGGAGGGGAATCTATCAAGCTTGTGTAAACAGAAGAGTTGATCACTAACACATAGAGGTTATCACGAGAGTGTTTGGAGGGGAATCTATCAAGCTTGTGAAAACAGAGGAGTTGATCACTAACACATAGAGGTTATCACGTGAGTATTTGGAGGAGAATCTATCAACCTTGTGTGAACAGCGGAGTTGATCACTAACACATAGAGGTTATCACGTGAGTCTTTGGAGGGGGATCTATCAAGCTTGTGAAAACAGAGGAGTTGATTACTAACACATAGAGGTTATCACGCGAGTGTTTGGAGGGGGATCTATCAAGCTTGTGTAAACAGCGGAGTTGATCACTAACACATAGAGGTTATCACGAGAGTGTTTTGAGAGAAATCTATCAAGCTTGTGAAAAGAGAGGAGTTGATTACTAACACATAGAGGTTATCACGCGAGTGTTTGGAGGGGAATCTACAAAGCTTGTGTAAACAGCGGAGTTGATCACTAGCACATAGAGGTTATCACGCAAGTGTTTGGAGGGGAATCTGTCAAACTTGTGAAAACAGAGGAGTTGATCACTAACACATAGAGGTTATCACGCGAGTGTTTTGAGAGGAATCTATCAAGCTTGTGAAAACAGAGGAGTTGATCACTAACACATAGAGGTTATCACGCGAGTCTTTTGAGGGGAATCTACAAAGCTTGTGAAAACAGAGGAGTTGATCACTAACACATAGAGGTTATCACGCGAGTGTTTGGAGGGGAATCTACAAAGCTTGTGTAAAGAGAGGAGTTGATCACTAACACATAGAGGTTATCACGCGAGTGTTTGAAGGGGAATCTACAAAGCTTGTGTAAACAGAAGAGTTGATCACTAACACATAGAGGTTATCACGCGAGTGTTTGGAGGGGAATCTATCAAGCTTGTGTAAACAGCGGAGTTGATCACTAACACATAGAGGTTATCACGCGAGTCTTTGGAGGGGGATCTATCAAGCTTGTGAAAACAGAGGAGTTGATCACTAACACATAGAGGTTATCACGCGAGTGTTTTGATGGGAATCTATCAAGCTTGTGCAAACAGCGGAGTTGATCAATGACACATAGAGGTTATCACGCGAGTGTTTTGAGGGGAATCTATCAAGCTTGTGAAAAGAGAGGAGTTGATCACTAACACATAGAGGTTATCACGCGAGTGTTTTGATGGGAATCTATCAAGCTTGTGTAAACAGCGGAGTTGATTACTAACACATAGAGGTTATTACGCGAGTGTTTGGAGGGGAATCTATCAAGCTTGTGTAAACAGCGGAGTTGATCACTAACACATAGAGGTTATCACGCGAGTGTTTTGAGGAGAATCTACAAAGCTTGTTAAAACAGAGGAGTTGATCACTTACACATAGAGGTTATCACGCGAGTGTTTGGAGGGGAATCTACAAAGCTTGTGTAAACAGAGGAGTTGATCACTAACACATAGAGGTTATCACGCGAGTGTTTGGAGGGGAATCTATCAAGCTTGTGTAAACAGAAGAGTTGATCACTAACACATACAGGTTATCACGAGAGTGTTTGGAGGGGAATCTATCAAGCTTGTGAAAACAGAGGAGTTGATCACTAACACATAGAGGTTATCACGTGAGTATTTGGAGGAGAATCTATCAACCTTGTGTAAACAGCGGAGTTGATCACTAACACATAGAGGTTATCACGCGAGTCTTTGGAGGGGGATCTATCAAGCTTGTGAAAACAGAGGAGTTGATTACTAACACATAGAGGTTATCACGCGAGTGTTTGGAGGGGGATCTATCAAGCTTGTGTAAACAGCGGAGTTGATCACTAACACATAGAGATTATCACGAGAGTGTTTGGAGGGGGATCTATCAAGCTTGTGTAAACAGCGGAGTTGATCACTAACACATAGAGGTTATCACGCGAGTGTTTGGAGGGGGATCTATCAAGCTTGTGTAAACAGCGGAGTTGATCACTAACACATAGAGGCTATCACGTGAGTGTTTGGAGGGGAATCTATCAAGCTTGTGTAAACAGAGGAGTTGGTCACTAACACATAGAGGTTATCACGCGAGTGTTTTGAGAGAAATCTATCAAGCTTGTGAAAAGAGAGGAGTTGATTACTAACACATAGAGGTTATCACGCGAGTGTTTGGAGGGGAATCTACAAAGCTTGTGTAAACAGCGGAGTTGATCACTAGCACATAGAGGTTATCACGCAAGTGTTTGGAGGGGAATCTGTCAAACTTGTGAAAACAGAGGAGTTGATCACTAACACATAGAGGTTATCACGCGAGTGTTTTGATGAGGAATCTATCAAGCTTGTGAAAACAGAGGAGTTGATCACTAACACATAGAGGTTATCACGCGAGTCTTTTGAGGGGAATCTACAAAGCTTGTGAAAACAGAGGAGTTGATCACTAACACATAGAGGTTATCACGCGAGTGTTTGGAGGGGAATCTACAAAGCTTGTGTAAAGAGAGGAGTTGATCACTAACACATAGAGGTTATCACGCGAGTGTTTGAAGGGGAATCTACAAAGCTTGTGTAAACAGAAGAGTTGATCACTAACACATAGAGGTTATCACGCGAGTGTTTGGAGGGGAATCTATCAAGCTTGTGTAAACAGCGGAGTTGATCACTAACACATAGAGGTTATCACGCGAGTCTTTGGAGGGGGATCTATCAAGCTTGTGAAAACAGAAGAGTTGATCAATGACACATAGAGGTTATCACGCGAGTGTTTTGAGGGGAATCTATCAAGCTTGTGAAAAGAGAGGAGTTGATCACTAACACATAGAGGTTATCACGCGAGTGTTTTGATGGGAATCTATCAAGCTTGTGTAAACAGCGGAGTTGATTACTAACACATAGAGGTTATTACGCGAGTGTTTGGAGGGGAATCTATCAAGCTTGTGTAAACAGAGGAGTTGATCACTAACACATAGAGGTTATCACGCGAGTGTTTTGAGGAGAATCTACAAAGCTTGTTAAAACAGAGGAGTTGATCACTTACACATAGAGGTTATCACGCGAGTGTTTGGAGGGGAATCTATTAAGCTTGTGAAAACAGCGGAGTTGATCACTAACACATAGAGGTTATCACGCGAGTGTTTGGAGGGGGTCTATGAAGCTTGTGTAAACAGAGGAGTTGATTACTAACACATAGAGGTTATCACGCGAGTGTTTGGAGGGGAATCTATCAAGCTTGTGAAAACAGAGGAGTTGATCACTAACACATAGAGGTTATCACGCGAGTGTTTGGAGGGGGATCTATCAAGCTTGTGAAAACAGCGGAGTTGATCACTAACACATAGAGGTTATCACTAGAGTGTTTTGAGGGGAATCTACAAAGCTTGTGAAAACAGAGGAGTTGATCACTAACAC